ATTGTATAAAAATGTATATTTTATATACAATTGCTTTTCAGGTATTTGGTTTTTGCTTAAAAAATATGGTTTATGCAGGTTTCAGTAGACATCTGAGTGAATAACTGCAAAATAATAGTAATCAGTCTTTTTTTATTAAAAAGAAAACAAACTTTTTTTTTCATTTTACATACCAATCTCAGTTTCCACTCCCTCCCCTCCTCCCATTCCCTCCACATACCCCACCCCCACCCCCATCCACTCCTCAGAGAGAGGAAGGCACATTGCTTTGGGGAAGGTCCAAGACCCTCCGTACTATATCTAGGCTGAGCCAGGTATCCATCCAAAGAGAATAGGTTCCCCAAAAGCCAGTACAAGCAATAGGAAATAAATCCTGGTGCTACTACTAGTGGCCCCACAGTCTGTCCCAGCCATGTCAAGCACATTCAAAGGGACTAGTTGGGTCCTACACTTGTTCCTTCCCAGTCTGGCTGGTGTTGGTGAACTCTCATTAGCTCAGGTAAACTGTTTCAGTGGGTGTTCTCATCATGGTCTTGACCTCTTTGCTCATATTCTCACTCCTCCCACTCTTCAACTGGACTTTGGGAGCTAAGGCAGTTTCTCAGAAAATTGGGAATCAATCAATCAGGAATCAGCAATACCACTCCTTGGGATCAATAAAAGACAGCCAATTGTGTGAAATTTTATTCTTTTGGCTTTTGGGGAGTCTACCACTCAGCTCTCAAATAAATCACACATGGAGGCTTATTCTTAGTTGTAGGGCCTGGGTCTACCCTTGTTCTTGGGGTTCAACTTGAGGACAGTTTCTGGTCAGCCAGCTAAAACATTTTGTTGTTCCTGTGCTCCCCCTGCCCCGACTGGTGATTAGCTGTAGGGCATTGCTGACTCCATCTTTGGTGTGGTAATTTCCCATCTGCCTGGGCAGAAATCCTTGTGCAGCAGCGAGGTATGTAAGGATTTTCTCCAAGGTTAAATAAACGACGACATTCGGTTGATCTCCTTTCGAATGACCCAGGTCTCTTTCAATCTCCAGGCCCTTGCCCGACTAGCCTTAGGTACAGTGGTGAACTGTACCGAGGGAGTAACACAGAATCGGGTGTTACACTTAGTTATGAATGCCTGGCTTTCCCTTGGCTTGTTTCTTGCTAGCTTTTCTTAATTTAAATGATCCCACTACCTTTCGCCTCTAGGCATTTTCCTTTTCTTACTTGTTTATGTCTTACTTTTTTTCTTACCCTGTGGCTGGCTGGGTGATTGGGTTGCAGGGCCCCAGACATCCTCCTGCCCTTGTACATGCCTTCTCCTTTCGTGGTTTCTCCTTCTATTTATACTTTCTGTATACCAAGCATGCCTATTCTTGTTCTGCTTTGCTATTGGCTGTTCAGCTCTTTATTAGACCATCATGTTTTAGACAGGCAAAAAATAACAGCTTCACAGAGTTAATCAAATGGAGCATAAACAAAAGTCACATGCCAGGCGGTGGTGGTGCATGCCAAAGCTACAGAGAAACCCTGTCTCGAAAAACCAAATAAATAAACAAACATCACACACCTTAAAATAATATTCCCCATTGTGTTGCTGATGTTTTATCAACTTTATTATCTGCATTGCTGATCTGATTAATACATTCATTCACATGACTTAAAACGCAATTCACCAAATATGGGTCTTACTTTAAATAGTTAATATAAATAAATCAATAAATCTCTCTCTCTCTCTTTTCTGAGACAGGGTTTCTCTGTGTAGCCCTGGTAGACTTCTGCCTCCTAAGTGCTAGGATTAAAGGCAAGCACCACTATGTGTTTTAGTAAGAAAAAAAACAAAAAACAATTCAACTAATCAAAAGCCCTACTCACATACAAGTCAGAGTGAATACATTTTGTTAAAGGATTAAGGACATTGTAGTTTATGATGAGCTAAGTTTTAAAATTTGGCCAGTCACCAATGAAAAAGTGATCTTTGTAGCTAAAAATGAAATAAAATGTTGATTTAGAAAGATTTAAAAAAAAAAGTTTGAAAAGCTTAAACACAATATAAAACCCAAGCTGGCATCACCTAGTAAAACATATTACTATTAAAGCGCTTCCTAATATCAATATTTCATGCTTCATGGTCACATTTAATCAACTTAAAAGACATTGCTTAATTTAGTTTCTTTTCTAAACTATCAGTTCTGGTAAACATTCTAACTTCAACATCTCACCTTCAAGCAAAGTCAGATTCTACTTCTCCTAATCCATGTGTAAAGATCTCCAGAAGTAGCAAGCTGGTACCAATTTAAAGGAGTTTAAATGCAAGGCCAGAAACACTGCCAATATGATTACACACCAGCTAAAGGGATCAGAAAAGCACAGGCCCAATACTCAACAAAGGCTACTCATTCTAGGAATGAGTTGTTATAGGAACTGCAAGTACAGGTTATGGGAGGAGATGATGGCTTTCAACATATTCCAATTTAGGGTAGCTGCTGTCCAAACTGTGCTGAGCAGGAATCTGGGGTTGGCAATAGTGCTCAGGGGAAGAGTGAGGCCATGATCTCAAAGCCTTGACTGCTTCAAGTAGGTAAGAGGACTGATGTCAGCTTTATGCCTGGCAAGAAGCACATCAATCTGTGTTGGGGCTCCTGCAAGCTCCTATCTCTACTGGCCGTGCAGCTCCTTTATCCCTCTCTGTGAAAATCCCCTTTAAGTGCCCCACTTCTCATCTGTACAGAAAGCAGGAAATCCTGCCCTCACAGGACTCAGGAGACTAACAGAAATACAAAATTGTGTTTTGTTTTCTGGGAGTTTTTGTTTGGTTTGAGACACGAGGAGCCTAGGTTAGCCTGGAACTCAGTATGTAGCTGAGGGTGGCCTAGAACTCCTGATGCTTTGCTTCGGTCTCTCAAGAGCTAGGTTCTAAATTGGGTTTCTCACTTGCAAAGAACAGACTCTGTACTTAACTTAAGCCGAAAGAAATTTATTAGAGTACGTTTATAGAATCAGCAGGAAGACTAGAGAAGCAGGCTTAGTCAGGAAACAAGGAAGGTATGGGGAATCCAAGTCCAGCTCCAAGAATAATCTGAGTTACTTTCAAAATTCAAAATTCTAGAGGACCAAACAGATGCCTCAGCTGGTAAACATGTTTGCCACAAAAACTGAGAACCTGCAATCAATTACCAGGTGGAATCGATTACCACATGGTGGAAGAGAAACCAACTTCCACAAGCTGTGATCTCACCTTCCAAAGCACCACAGTGCATATCTCTCCCCAAATTAAAAATAAATACTCAAAATTCCAGATTGAAGCCTGCTATTAGTAGTACGTGTATTCAGAGAACAGGTTTAAATTCCAGTTACTAGGTAGAGAACTAGTTTTCAGAAAATCTTAAGATACACTTTTCTCCCCATATCCTTCTCCTCATCAGCCAAGTCTCCCTTACAACAGGTCTGGAACTCAAGACAAAGCAAAGGATGACCTTGAACTCCTCCTCAGCTGCTTCTACCTCTGAGATTACAGGCACACAGGGTTTCTGTAGTGCTGGAGATGGAACCTACAGCTCTGTGGCTCTGTGTAGACTAAGCAAGCTCTCTATCACCTGAGCTACATTTCTAGATCCATAGATTCCCTTTTTCAAAAAGCATCAACAACCACTACTTTCTATAGATCACTCTGCAGAGGACACACATAGGATGTCAAGTGTAAATTCAGTGTAGAAGTTGCAGTTAAATGAGCAGAATGAAATGTCAACTTGGAATGAGTTTGAAAATGTAGGCAAGACTTCTGAGAAGAAGCAAGCTGCATGAATAGTAAGAGCTAGAATTGAAAGTGGGGATTTTGTTCTAAGCCTAATCCAAACTAAAAAGAAACTAGAAGGATTCAAGTCAGAGACTATGTCAATGGATCCCAAAGAAGATGTAAAAGCAAAAACTAGATTGTTACAAAACAGCCCTGGATCGGAGGAGGTACCACATAAACACAAAGTTAAAAGCCAGAGAAAGCAATAAAAAGCATCAAGAAGACAGGGTGGATTTGCTGAACTTCATATAAATGTGTATTCATTGTAGGGCATGTTCACATGCCTGTTATTCTAGTTCTCTTAGACAGTGGAGAGGAAACAAAAACAAAACCACCATGTCCAGTACAAGGTAATGAAAATACAAGGTTTAAGAAAGTGATGGATTACTGTACTGCTTCAGAGAGCTCAGCACAATGAGCCTCACACTCAAGAAGAAATGCCTGATCCTACAAGTCTTAGCTTAGGGAAGCTCTTGTGCTCTTTCTAGATGGGTCCTTGGAGTAGGCATGGCCAGCTGGAAAAGACAAAGTCAAGGTGGTACAGATAACAGCAGGTGCCATGTAGTTACAAGGATATCCTGCTTCTAATGGATAAAAGACATCTTGAAAAATCTGTCTGGTGTTTGAGATCATACACTGCATGCACCTTATGCAAAGCAGCTGGCCTTTCAGTTACAGGAAGAGAAAATGACATCATCAGGGCCTTAGTGTGTGTGTATGGGGGGCAGATCTCTCCCTGAGAGCAGAAGTTTAACCTAAACAAAAACATTTCCAGGCACAATCACAGGTTCCATTGTGTATCAGTTCAATTTCTAATAATTCAAATTTCCAGCCAAGTAATTTTAAGCACTAAAAAGCTTTAATAAGAATATCTTAGTTCTAGAAATACCTAATATAGTTTAAACTTTCCACTGACCTTCCCCTTCTTCCCTAGGGCTCATTTTCCCGGAAGCTTCAAGACAGGTCCTTATCACACCACTGTGCGAGAGGGAACCAGGGGCTGACCTCCTTCACTTGTCCATTTCACAAACAGGTTTTTAGCTCAGACTAATATCTGTAACACCAAACTCAGCAAAACTTTCCAGATTCTGTCACTTTCTTAAAAAATAGTTTTAAATATTTCTAAAATTAATAGCCATTAAATGTAATACATAATTTGTAGGTGTGATTTTGATGCCCTCTCCCTACCTTAAAATACAGAAATTGTGTGCGCTGGCACCTACCTGCAACCCCAGGACTGGGAGGTGGAGGTAAAGCAGGGGCTCAAGGCCATCCTCTACACAGCAAGTTCAAAACCAGCCTGGGCTAAACAAGACCCTGTATCGAAAAAGAAGTAACAAAGTAACAAAGCATACAGAACAAATTCAAAGCAGGTTAAACTAACATTGGGAAGGGTTTTTGTTTTTGAGATTGCATTTAGGGGCACACATATTTCTACTATACCTGGAGGTTTAGAAACGGGACAGCTCAAATAGGTAAAATTCTAGTTTTAAGAAAAATGGAATATACATCAATATGAAAAACTTAATGCCCCAGACAATGGCAAAATAAAGCATCATTCTACATTACATGTAGCTGTTCATGTGAATTCCAATACCTTTGTTTTGAAACTTTCAAAAAAAACGTTTAAGTTTTTTTTCCGTTTAAGTTCCAAAATACCAGAACAATGACACAGTTGGTGGTGCTATTGAGAATATGCCGAAGATGATTCTGAACTTTGTTGAAAGCCACAAAGGAAACCAAGAGTCCTTAATAACTAACCACAGCAATACTTCGGATATCCCCACCAAACAGGAAATACAAAAGGGAAATCAAGGGTTTGACAAGGCTGAAGTGGCTTTAGCAGGAAGCGACTAGATTTCAGTCTCTTGACCTTGCCTCTCATCTTTACCCCAGTTCCTTCTGAACCCTTCCTTTTCTACAAGGCAAACAGAAAAAAGATGCATGGCCTTCGGAAAGGGAAAACCCTTTCATCATGGCTTCTCCCTTTCAAGGGGCCCTCGCCTCAGTTTTAACATCTGTCAAGCAGAGCTAAAGTCTGGGTTCCCGCTTAGTAGGATCAAATAATATGCTGTCCCGCACCAAGTGAAAGCCACCATTCCTGGGCGAGTTGCCAACACCACTCAGCTTCGGTTCCTCTCCCGGCAAGGCTGGTTCGACCTACAGTCAACAGGAAGCTTCTGGGGCAGGGACAGGATCCCAGCTTCGGAAAGAGGCCAGACGAGAACGTTTTTGGATCCCGACCAGGGTGTCAGCACCGCCCCGCTGGCTCACGCGGTTGGGCTGAGATTTTACTATCAGCGACAAAGACTGCGCAGACACAAGGCTGAGAAACGCAAAGTCAAACTCTCTCCAAAGAACCTCAACCCCGGCCACCCCACAAAACAAAGCCCCACGCCCCTCGGCGCTACGGAGAGCCGGGCCGAGCTCCGTTGTGCCCGTCGCGGTAGTCGGCGCGCGGGAGGGCAGGGCGCCGCAGGCCTGTGCCGCTTTCTCTTCACGCCCCCTCAGGAGCCCGCCTGGCCCCCGCCGCCATGTTGGGCTGGCAGGCGTGACACGGCCTGGCCTCCCGGCCGCGCGCGAACCCCGCACAGAGATCCGGCGCCGGAAGGCGCTCGAAGCAGGCAGCGCGGCCGGGCGCGAGTTCCGGTGAGCGGGCGCGCGCAGGTAGCCGCAGCCCCCGCCCCGCGCTGCCGCCCCCGTCGAGAACGGAGGGGCGGGGCCGGCGGCTAGAGGAGGTGGAGGAGGAGGAGGAGGAGGAAAAGGAGGAGGAGGAGGAGAAGAGAGGGAGGCCGTGGGGTGCAGGCGCCCGGGAATTCCCTCCTCCTCAAGTAACGCGTCCCGGGCCGGCTGTGCCGTCGTCGCTGCCTCCCGGCGCCCCGCGAGCAGGAGACGGAGCACGGAGAGAGGGCCGCGCGGGCGTGCGCCTCGGCCGGCCACCGTCTCCCCCAGCGACCCGTGCGAGTGCGGCCAGACGGCAGGTAGGCTCGCGGCGGGCCCTCGCGACGGAGGCTGCTGACCCCGGCCGGGCAGCGCTAGGCCCCGGCGTCCGTCCTCCCGCTCCCCGGCTTCTCGAGGCGCCGCCGTTCCTGCCGCTGTCTGCCGGCGGGGCCAGGAGTCGGGAAGTTGTGGAGAAACTTCTCCCTCCTGCGGTCCCGCGGGCGGGCGGGCGGGCGGGCGGGCGTGTCTCCCGGGCGCGCTACCTGCTGGCCCCCAGCCTTGGTCCCCCTTCCCGTCTAGTCCTTCCCGGTCCTGCGTGAGTCCGACTGGTAGTCTAGTCGACGTCGGGGCCGCTGTTGCACCCTGCGTCCTAAAGGGCTTCGGGTCACTCGAGAGTGAGGGCGAGCGGGAGGCAGGGGAGTGGCCCCTTCTTGTCCTAGCGGCGAGAGGTCTGTGTCTCCTGACGCCCGCAGCAACTTTCCGGATTAGGACTGGGACGTGGGGCTGGGGTGGGGTGGGGGTGAGAGTTGGTGAGCATCCGTCTGTGCAAGGTTTGATTGAAAACCGCGACGAGTTTATAAAGTTTTCCTTTGTTTGGGGTTGAAGGTGATGGGAATTGTTATATTCAGCGGCCTCTTTTAAAGGTGCCCTGACACTCTGCCTCGTGTTGGGTTCGGCTCTTTATCCCGTGTTAGTGAAAATTTTGTCTGAGAGTCTGTTTTTCTTTTTGGTAATGATTTCCAGCATTTGCTTTATTGGACACGCGGAAGAGCTGCTTTAAGAAAGTGGGAATATCGTTTCTGGTATAGGGACTTCTGTAGTGAACGGGGCATAGTGTGGGCTTTTTTTTTTTTTTTTTTTTTTACATAAGTGATCGAAACAGTCTTGAAATAGCTAATGACAGTTATCAAAATAAATAAATGAAAAGTCTGCAGTACACCCACAACTTTGCAGCTCTGTCGTTTGTCATGTATGTGTGTCCCACAGCTGTGTTTTCATATAGGTGATTTCCCAGGACACCATGTTGTAATATATTTTGTGCATTATACTGTAAGATTACTGTACCAAAAGTATCTTGAGAATTGAAAGTATATATTAAAATTCTATTTAATTTCTAAATTTCAAATGTTACAAAATGTGCATTTGTCATATGAACTTAATGTGAAATACTTGTTCAACTCTATTAAGAAGTCCAGTGACTGTGGACAGAAAACATTTTGAGTGGACAGGTAAGAGGATGTTAAATTAAAAGCCGAAGTTCTTGTATGAATCACATATGAGAGAACACAAACTGCATGAAAGTTGTACACCAGAGGAATATTTCCTTTCTTCCAGCCATGTCAGCATTTAGCTATATCTTATTTTTTGAGTTAAAAAATAAGCTAAACCACAGTGAAGAATTTAGATACTGGTTAACATTTCAGAGGGTCCTAAATTTGAAAAAAAAAAAAACTATTGCCTTTGATTAAAACAAGACAGTTTGTATTCATGTCTCCAGCATAAAAGCTAGAAGGGCTCTTAAAATATGTACTTTGCCAAAACCATGGTAATGTTAACATAGCTTTAATTTTGCAGCCTGTTTTTGCTGACTTCACAAACCACAAAATTGACTCCTTTCTGTTAACTGAAAGTGAAATTACAGCCCTGACCTGTCTTCCTGGGAGAGGTATAGACTTTTGTCTTACGGTCAAAGGATAATATTAATATATAGACAAAAGTTTGTTTTTAGTTGAGGAAACTCCAAAAAATCATTGTCTATGCAAATAAATTTTTATTTTTGTGTTTATAAGTGCTGAAAGAAGATTAGTGACCCAGTACAAATGAATTATTACTAATCTTTATTTATTTGTAGTTCTAAAATTGCATAGTACTAGTGGTAAATAGCTTATTATGGGAAATTAAAAAAATACATTTAGCTCCTGTTGCCATGATTTAGGAAAGAGGCAAAAACAGATTTTTTAAAAAAAGAACATTGCTAGGCTCTGACATCTAGAAATGGTCTAGAAATGTAAACTTAAGTGATAAAACTAGTATTTAAAAAGAACTACAAGGAAGTGATTTGCATAAAAACAAAGACTCTAGAGAGGGAGGGAGGCAGCTGTGATAAGCATCCCTACTTCTGTAGTAGTAGGAAAAAAATCCCCTCCTCTCCACAGGGTTTCTCTTTGTAACAGTGGTGGCGTTCAGAAACTGCCCTGTAGACCAGGTTAGCCTGGTACTCACAGTAATCCACCTGCCTCTGCCTTCCCAGTGTTGGAATTAAAGATGTGCACCACCATGTGCGCCACCACCGCTTGGTTAGGAAAGTTCTTTTAACCTTGGGGTCGTGGATGTGTTTATCTTAATTCATCAAGTCATAATTTGGGGGGGATAACCTGATTTCTTGTCACATCCTTCAATCTTTCCCCTTTTTGTTAAAAAATTTAATCATTGGTGACTGACTTTAGAACACTCCCTGGGCTCTCCTTTGCTAACAGGTTTAGGCTTTCTGCATCGTAACCGTCATGTACTAGCCTGTATGTACTAGCCTTGAAATACCACACATTTCCAGATGTACAATAATGAGATAATTTTGAAAAAAAAAAGTATTTTTCATAGAAATACTCATAGTTTTTGTTGTTATATTGATATTTTGAGAGAAGGCATTATGCTTTACTAATTTTAAATGTAAGTAATAGTAAGTAATCAAAATGTTTATTGAATGAATGGATGTTGTTCTGTTATCAAGTACCTACTTTTGAGAAAATCAGGTACCATGACAAAAGTGATATAGCGAGTCTTGACTTTCATTCTGTTTTTACCCCAGAGCAGTAATGATTTAACTAAAAAGTTCGTCTGTTAGTTTTGATATTCCCATGAGACTCTTGTTATGTAGTAATTTTTTCCTTATTGACACTTAATGAAGTGGGTAGAGTCCGAAGAAATAATACACTTTTGTTGCAGACGAAAATAGTGACCGTTTGGTTGCGTTTCAGAGACAGCGTAGTTGCTAGATGCTGCTTTATTTGTTCTGTGTAGTCGTGTGCTGTTTAGCTGTTGATTTTGTTGCTTAACATTGTTGTAATGGAGCACTGAAGAAGAGATTGCATCTGTGCCAAGTTCTTATGTCACAGGAACTTTGCCGTGTTGTAAAGGTGATGTTTGTTACTCTGGCCCTGTGTGAATATTTACAGGAAGTTTTAGTAAGATCTTCTATTGTTCTGAGGGCTACATGACTAGGTCACCTTTGTTTCACATTTAAACTGGTTTATAATATAAATACAAGTCCTCTAGCAAGATCCAGTTGGTGCTTCTTAAATAATTGATTCCTATTAAGGTATCTTGGTGTCTTAACAAGTACTGTGTACAGCCGTTTGTGTGACTGTGGTAGGGTATATATTTTCTTTTTTCTTTTCTCAGCTGCTCCAGTGCCACAATTAGCTGAGTATTGCTCAGCTGCAGCTGCTGGGTGATTCTGAGCCATCTAGCTCCTGTCTAAACTCAGAGGCGGATTTAGCAAAAGGAGCTATAGTAACAGTCGAGATAGAAAAAGAGCCAGTGCTGCTGCCAGTGTCATTTGAGCAAGTCTGTGCCAAGGAATTCTTGGCTGCCGTAGCACTCACTACTATTGTCTTGGAACCAGCCAACTTGATGGCAGCATATCTTGATCTGAGTTGAGATTTACCCTTTATATTCGGAAGTATACTCCAAGAAAGGTGGAAAGTCCTGTGATTACAAAGTATAGCATCATGTACTGAAGGCCTGAATTACAATGATGAGACCTCAGTGTCTCATCTCCTTGCCTAGCAGCACCCTTTGGTGTCTCTTCTTGGGTTTCGAGAAACATTTAACATATTCCACTCTACTTTAACTACTGTTACTATTTGGGGGAATGACTGGATTTCTGATGTACCAATATACATTTTTCTTTCTAACAAAAAGTGAAAGACCCTCAAGAGGATCTAGAACCAGCTACCCATAGCTTGTCCCCTGCTGTCTGAAATTTGGAAGTAAAAATCCAAAATTCTTATTTATTATTGTTGGTATTTCAGAACATAAGCCTCAACTAGTACAAGTACTAGCGATACATGGTAGTCTGTATTCCCACCATCTATTGGGGAGAAGGCTGAGATGGGAGGATTGGGAATTTAAGGTCAGCCTAGACAATTTAGTAGTACCTTATCTCAAAAGTAAAAGAAAAAAAATCAGCATACAAATACACTATCAGCTATGTATGGAAAATTTTAGACTGAAAGATGCCATTGGCAAATTTTGTTGCCTCTGAAATGATAATCGTAGCATCTTATATAGCTACTGAAAATGCAGGGACAATCAATTTCTTTTACTAATCCTGATAATACTGGTAGTTCAGGGTTTGGCTAATTTGAGGTGGGGATTAGAGTTCAAATTTTAAGGAAGAGATATATAGAAGACTGAGCATGCTTAAGTGTATGTTGTCATAAGGTCATTTAACAAGAGACTGGTAAAAAGCTCATATGACAAAGATTTCTTCTAAAATTGTAGTATTTCTTTCTGTGGTTGTTGTTGACAAAATGTTTCTGTAGCAAGGGGCTGTTTCTATAATAGTCCACAGTAAAGACTTTTTAAAACTTTTACATTTATTTGTTTATTTAGGTGTGTGTGTGTGTGTGTGTGTGTGTGTGTGTGTGTGAGAGAGAGAGAGAGAGAGAGAGAGAGAGAGAGAGAGAGAGAGAGAATAACCTGCAGGACCATTCTCTCCTATCATGTGGGTTCTGGGATTGAACTCACTGTTCAGTTTTGTTCACTAATCACACATTTTACCAGCCTAAGAAATAATCTTTGAATTGTATCAAAGATGTGGTTTGCAGTATAACCATATGACTATAACTGTGGACTTTTCTTTTTTCTGTTTTGGTTTTTCAAGACAAGATTTCTCTGTGTAGCTTTGTAGCCTGTCCTGGAACTAGCTCTTGTAGACCAGCTGCCCTTGAACTCACAGAGATGCACCTGCCTCTGCCTCCCGAGTACTGGGATTAAAGGTGCATGCTCATAACAAACATTTTTTGTATATCCTTACCAAAATTAATAAAATCAGCTTAGTGCTTTTTTATAGATTAAATTTAAATAATATCAGCTTTCTTTTGCTCTCAAAGTTTTGTTCTACATTATATAAAATAATTTAAAATAATCTTTCAAATGAGAATTTTAAAGGTTTTCTTTATAAACTAAAAATCAGTTGAAGTTAAACTAGTCTTTAGGAACATTTATTTTAAAGAAATACTTTTTAAAGTTTTGGCATTTTGGTTGTGAGCCTAGCCTTTAATGGAAGAACTACCTCTCGAAACCTATTTTTTACAGTTTTAATGAATATATATTATTCTTGAGTTATAAAAAGAATCCCGTTTTCGTTAAAATCTGAAATACATTTGATAATTTATCATACTAAAATTGGCAATATTGTAATTTAGGTTTATCTCTCCCTAGGATGAAAGAAAAGAGATATACTCATTTGCTGTGATGTGTTTGAAGGAATGCATAGTACTTGGGACACATTATGCTGTGGTTTTGGCAGGGTTTAGGA